AAATAAACAAGATAAGAACATAAATAAGATATAAGCTGACTAAGTAAAGGAAAGGAAATGAAAAGCATAAACAAGAGATTAATATAAGCAAAATTTAAGCATTGCTATAAAAAGAGAGCAAGAACTTGATCGTGATCTAAAAACCAAGATGCCTAAATGTAGACCAAATACCTTTTTTTTATAGGCTAAAATTAGAAACTATTAATTTGATCACTAATTATTGAGTGTGTGGCTAACTCTTAACTTGGTGACAATCCTTATTTGTCCACCAAAAACATCATTGCTAATGTTAAAATTCGAACAAATTTAAATCAAAGTTTTAGAAAATTATCTCAACTTTTCAGAAAAAAATTGAGGACATTTGAATTTCTAGAACTCGAGATATGGGCTAAACACTGAATAGTATTTGAGCTGTAGGATAGATTCAGATTTCTCTGTTATTGCTAAAATTTGGACTTTCAAACAACAAAATTGAATCTTGTCTTTCCATGAATGTTTTAGGCCCATGTCTTAGCTTTTCATCCATATAGAGCAGACCTAAATCCAAGATCTATAGCTCAATATATGATCTAATTACCAAATAGTATTTCAGTTTGAACTGAACCAACATTTCTTTTGTAAGCTTCACCTTTTCTTTATCTTCTCAATTTCAGTAGTTGAACTCATCAATTAATCCTTTAATTTAAGTGATAGGCCTGCATTTAAAATAAATATTTACAATAAATTAAAGGTATTTTATAGTATAAGGCTTGTTATTATAAATATATTTTAGTTAAGGAGTTATTGATACTTCAAGTGCAAAATGCTAATATAAAATCTTGATAAAAATGCACTTTTAAGTACCAATCACACCCTTCAACCAGCTTGTTACTAGTCACTAATAATCAAAATGTTAAAATAGAAAAATAATTTGCAAATTCCACAAAGTAAGGCATTCATCATTCAACTTCTATTAATCTATTCAAATAAACAAACTCTCATTAAATTTATATATCTACTCAATACCTCTTAAACAAGATATTTATAAACCTTATTTTTTATGTGCTTAATGTATGAAAACATAGATAACGGGGCTTTTATTGGAAGAAAATATTATTCTTAACTAATGTATAAGATTAACTTTCTTGGGTTAGGATTATTTTTTTCTTTTTTTTTAATATATATACATATAACTTAAAATACAATGCATCTTTAACCTATGTAACGAGCTTTCGAGTAATAACAAATACAATGCATCTTTAACCTATGTAACGAGCTTTCGAGTAATGACTCCCAAACCAGTTGGTTTTACGGCATTAGGTGTTGTGACACCCCTTTGAGCTTAATGACTCGTGTTGCAGATACCGATACGTAGATAGTGTAATGTTTGATTACCTTAAACCTTTCTCCTTAACCCATGTAATAAGCGTTGGGCAAATAGCTCCCAAGTCAGTTGAATATAGGGTATTAGGTGTTAAAACACCCCTTTGAGCTTAATTGCTTAAGTTAGAGAGGCTACGAAATTAAACTTATCTACGTTTTTATTATCATCATTTTTTTGTTTTTGTTTTTATTTTATTTTATTTTTTTTGGCAATTTATATACTATCCATTTCCCTTAGTTGTTACCTTTAACAAAAAAGCATAAATAATGTAACAATCCAATCTACAACTCACGATCATATGTTAAAATGTGTGTGTAAAAATAAAGGTTTATGAATACTTGTTAAATGAGTATATGAGCAGAATCAAGTGATAATGGTGTGAGAGTTTATAAACCTTAATATTTTAAGAAGTATTCTAATAGACCTTGATTGGTACTTAAAAGTGCATTCTCATTAAGGATTTATGTCATCATATTGCACCTAAAGTATCATTAAATTCCCTAACAAAAGCATGTTTTATATTAGCAAGTCAAAATATAATATACCTTTAATTCATGATAAATGTTCATCCTAAATGCAAGTCTATCACATAAATAAAAGGA